CTCCAGAAGGCCCATTCGTCGACCTGAGCTCCTTACTTGTATTTGACCTCTTTGGCGCTTCTGCACACATAGCATATGGTGCCTGCCTGATGCTCCGCTGAGCAGCTGGAGTATCGTGGGGCCTCATGGAGTTAAGGATACATGCGTGTGCTGCATGTGGGGGACACTGGGCCCCATTGCACCGTACCGGTTGCAACGGGATCCAGAACCCACCACTGGCATGCATGCTTGTTAGCCGCTCATGAGGAACCATCCCATCTCTTTCCATCAGTCCACAAAGCTGGAAAGGTTAGGGTTCTTGAGTCTGTTCCTGAGCCCTGTAATTAGATCAGCCTTCTTTAGGCCTTCTTTGCTAATAGCTTGCTCCTATGTCCTGCCCAGAAATATAACAGTTTTTGAGATGTTCTATTTATAGTTTCATAAAGAATGTAGTAATTGTGATGGATTGTGCCTATGAAGGGGATGTAGTGTGATGGGCCAGGCAAGGGGCCATACAAGGGACAACACATCCCAAAGTGTATAGGATGCAGATGAACAGAATTAGGATAGCCATTCCCTAGAGCAGGGTTGTCAAACTGGCGGCCCGTGAGCTGGATGCATCATGTGCAGGCCACGCCCACCCCAGCAGGGCCTGCATGGGAAATGGGAAAAACATCACAAATGTTGCATGATGGCAATGTGACATAGCAGGTTTGACACCCATGCCCTAGAATCTTCCAGGATATATCCCTTGGGATGGGAGTAGTAAAGGGTTAGTCTGACAAGATTCTGTCTACTCAATGTAAGCAAATAAAGAACTGAACTATGTTGCTTGATGTTATTCTTGTGCTAGGCCTTGACTTCAAAGGTTGGTTGCTATCTCTGTAGCAGAGGTAGGTTGCTCCTGATTTGGCCCAGATCGGGTGAATTGGTAGTGGCGGTGACGGGAGGCTCCGTCCACCTGCCCGGACACTTCTGTGCTTGAGCAGAAAGGTCATGAGCATGTGACCCTGCATGCGTGAACCGGTAGTAAAAAAAATGCTACACTGCTTTGTAGCAATGCTTTGGAACTTTGGAAAACCCATTCATTGAAAATTAGACATCTGTTTTTTATATGTGCTCAAATTTGAAGTGGAATAATAATCATTTTAAAATCTTCTCACCCTCTTCTAAATCATTCTTTACCATTGTATTTTATTTAATACTTAAATATAAAGAATTACAAAAGCCTTCTGCATCCCATCTACTATATGCTTTAAAAACAGATATAATAGAAATAGAGAAACTAAACAGAGAAATGGAAATTCCTTTTCTGGTAATATTAGAATTCAGTGTCAGCAAATGAAATTGATTGGCAACACATTCAAGCCAGGCAAAATTTCTGTTCAAATATTATTAGGCTCCGAAGACCTACCAAGACTCCCAAGACGTGACAATTTTGATGACCATTCTATATAGAAATCTACATATATGGGCAATTGCAAACTGTTTTACACAGTTTTAGCTAGCCATGTTGAGGTAAATGATTAGACATGTGATATGTCCTACATAAAGCTACAATGATGACCATCACAATATATGGCCAATAACCCAAATTACTTTATAGAGGAGTTCGATGAATGTGTAGAGGACTCTTAGCAACCTAATGATGGTTGATAAGAGAAGAGAACATTATGGAAGTTCTTTAGGGAAGCACCTGAGTGTGACAAACAGATTGCTGAACCGAATATTTCTTCAATCTGATTCACATCAGAACTCTTTATCTGTGCTTGCCTAATGTACCAAACCAGCTGCTGTAAGACTTCTAAGCACATAATGCTTACTTCCTTTGTTCTAATGCTAATTGCCTCCAATACAATTTAAGGAAACCATTCAGAACAGAGAATACTTTGCCTAAAATGGCATGCATTGTTTTCTATAAGACTGAAGTCTATTAAAGTTAACATTACAACGCAACTTTCTGAAAAAACAGCAACAATTAAAACCCACATGGACAACTTGCCAGAGGGGTTTAAGTCTCAAAAGAGTTCCCTGCCATCCATGCTGGTTCTGTTATATATCCTTCCTGCCCCTTAAAACAAAGTAACCTTCCACAATTACAAAACTTGGAAAAATTTTTGTCATCGCTCAGAAGTGTTATGTTCCTATTTGGCTGTCTTGCAGCAGAAAATAAACACACACACACAAATATTGTGTTGCAGAACTTTATCACTACTTTTATGAGAGCAGCATCAGTTCTATCTTATCAGATGAATTACCCCACGAGGAATGGAAACGTTAAAAAGACTTGGCCTTTGAAGGGCAAGCAGATGAATTTAAGGAGGAAAATTATATTTTGATATTGTGAAAGAGGAAATAAGATTGCCTGGAACTGTTAGTGGCTGAGGCTTTTTCCCCGCTAGAAATTCAGAATCAGACTGGAGTAAGCCAGGAATTTATGGGCCAATGTGGAAAAAATTTATTCCAGACACAGATTTTGTTTTATACTGTTGCAATTAATCCAGATGAATAGTGTTTGCTGTATTTACATGCACTTCACGTGCCAAAGAACTCCAAAACATGTCCCGTGCTGTTGAGTTTACAGTCTCCTCATGCAAACTTGGGAAGAACAAATTAAGTTTGGAGGTCCACGCAGGAAAAAAAAATTTTTTTTGTATAAAACTTTGGTGATATGCACTCTAATAAAACATGTCACAGTTAAACTGTTTGGAGTGTTAAGTTTTTAACAGCAAAATGTTTAATGTTATGAAGTCATGAAAAGGAAGCAGAAGATTTGAAAAGGTTTTAAATAAAACCAGAACTCCTCAATGCTTGATTCAGAAGCTTGTTTCAAATGTCAGATGTTTGCCCTGGAATTTATTTTAGTAGAATGAAAGACGACCACCTATGAGTATTTTTCTGAGTGCATTTCTATCACCACTTAATAGTCCAAAGCTAGCCATGATGATTCATGTAACATTAATGGGTCACATTTTCCAGTTTGGTTTCCAGACATTATTAAACCACCAGAATTTATCTTTTTAGAAACAAGTTTTCCATCCTGGCAAGAAACAAACTTTGTTAGTAAACCATAAATTGTTCCATATATATGTGGGGACACACAGAAAGAGAGAGCGACAGAGAGAGAGAGAGAGGGAGGGAGAGAGAGAGAGCTAATAATTCTATTATCAAACAATTTTTTTCAGAAAAAAGAGGGATTTTTAAAAATCTCATTAAGTATTAAAAAAAACACCTTTGAGAAGAATAAAAAAAATAGATTTGCCTACTTTGATAAGTGGTACCACTTATCATTCATGTCCACAAAATATATAGTGAACTACTGTTATGCTGGGGTGAACTGATCCCTATATTTAAGCTGTAGCAAAGAGAATGGCAAATAGCATTAAAACCAAGAGTTATTCTATGGCCTATGATTTTATAAAAAGTGTTCTACAACGGGCTTAGATATTGGCAAAAACATGATTTTAATGATTCCAACTCTGAAATATGATGCTATTGCAGAATGGACAACTTTGATAAAAAGAAAATTTGTCCCTTCCTAAATTTGTATGTCTCTGAAGAAAGAATACTGTATATCCAGATATCTATAGCTACCAAACTTTGCATTACACTATTACTAAGCTGTAAATTTAGAGTACATATGAATTTGATTAAATTAGTAATTGACACAACTTTTGTAACTTACAATGGCCATTACCAAAATACAGCCTCTTCTCATCAGAGCCATGTTTTGATTTATTATGTCCGCAGAATCTAAAAGCAATAAGAGATAAGAATATTAGAAACATATTATAGACAGCTATTTATGTAAATTTATGTGCAACACAAATATAATATTTCAATATTTTATCTAAATATCTTAAAATTTATAGTCAATGAACCCTACAAAGCTGAGGTAAATTTATGGAAATATAAGGAGGGAATATAAGAAGTAACATATTGATTTTTCATTCATTTAGTTTTCTGCACAATTGTCTATAAATAGTTGTTTTTAACAGTTCAATAGGACTAGGGCTACTATAGTTAATAGGCCATGTTATGTACTCCTCTATAACTTTTGGCTCAGAACATGGCAGTAAAGACTAGATCATTGTATTTCCAACTGTGTCAACTTTTCATTTCATAAAACTATTTTATATATTTCTGTAATTAATTTTTAAAAATATACTGTAAATATCTATTTTGAATGTACTAAAGTATAAATTTCAAATATTTTTTTCAATATATGTGTATACATTTTTAATTTTTACATTTTAGCTTTGGGTATCAATTTTGAACTGAGAACTGCAGAGCAAAATTCAAAGAAATATGAAACCCAAAGGATATCCACAGCCAAAGTTGCACATTAGTCCAGGAAGTACGAATCAGATCAATTTGCCTTGAAACGCATACCAAATTAAATCCTTGAGTATCCTTGACAGTATCTTGGTGACAGTGCTTATCATTCTACTGCAGGCTTTAAGAAATAAAATCCAATGTGTAAAAGGAATGAAGAACTAACCTTCCAATCAAAATGTAAACCACAATTGTGAGCAGAATAATTGCTACGGCAGCTGAAACAGCAATCATTACAACCTGGCTATTCTCACTGGAGATGGAGAAAGCTAAAAGTGAAAAAGAAAAAAAGAGAGAGAAAGATTGAAACAAAAGCAGTAAATACAACAGTGCTGGTAATTGGAGAAAGATAAAAATGTTATTGGGGCATCATTTTGTTTTTAGATTACAAAACAGTTGTTACTCCTTTTCTCCCTATTTACCTTTTAGAAAATCCTTTATAGAAATAAAAATAAATGATATGATTGCCAAGAAAATAGAAAGAGAAAAAAAAACAAAAATTTGGTCTACTGCTGAGAAATACAAGATTCATTTGTACAACAGTTTCCTGGCTCAGGAACCTTGATATGCTAAAATTTAAGTTGGACTAACTTTTAGGTCACAGGAACCAGAAAAATGGAATTTTTAAACACCATTTAATTCTCATGCAAGAATTGAAATCTCTTTTTTTCCATCCAGTCCACTTTCCCTTTCTCCTTGAAAGTAAGGACAGAGTGACTAGGGAATGCAAATTTAGTAACCTAAAAGTATGGTTTTACTTTCAGAATATTATCCATTTCCACCACAGAAAAGAATTATTTCCTTTCAAGACACCAGCGTTACAAAAGCAAATATGACTTTTTCATGTATGCAAGATGTAGGCAAGAAGATGATATTGCTTTAGTAAGCTTTAAAAAGGGTCAAAAAAAAAAAAACTTTAACAAGAGAAACAGGTTTCAAGAACATAATGACTTAATAGCTGAGAAGATATTTTCTTAGAAGTAGTGTTTCCTAACTGAAATAAGACATCGTTTCATGAAAATGACACTTTAGGTTAAAAGGCATGAAGATGATTTTAATATTTTTTAATAGGGCTAAAATTAATAGATATCATAGATGTGTTGTAGTTTTTAGTTCAAATCAGGTATCATATAAACAGAATAAGAATTTCTAGGACATTCCTCCTTAATAAAATATGTAGTTCATATCTATAAGGCTCAAAGAAGTTTTGTGTTAACTCAGTTCCTACAATAAATAAATAAACCTGGATAATTAATCTCTGGAATTATCACACTGAAATAATATCTAATATAAACAGAATTTAAGAATTTTAATCTTGACTGGATCATTTACACATTTTCACAAAGTATATTTTTTAAAAAAAGTTGTTATGCAAATTCATTATGGAAAAATAACTTACTGCAATCTGTTCTCAGCTAATATTAGAATAAATAAAAATCTTCTATACGTAACACAAAGCTGTTATCAAATTTATTCTATTATTTTCACAGTCATTCACACATTTTTATTTCATATGACAAAATATATGATCATATTTCTTCTCCTTGTTCTTCCATAAACTAAGTTAAAAAAGATTTTAATTTGCCATTTATTTTATAGTCTAAGGTTATTGAAAAAAATATTTTTTTTGACTAAAAGAGTAGCTCTAGCTACTTTATAGTAAGTGCAGAATTTTTTTTAAAGATACAAATCTTCAAAGTATAAATATTTCAAATGTGAATGGCTTGAAATAGCAATTAGTTGAAATGCAAATGTGAGTAAGTAGTGTGATATGGTTAGATAATAAGATAAAGACTGCATTAGCAGAAGAATATTTTCTCAATCATTGGATATAATAGAGGGTTTTTTAAAAAAATTCTGCTTAGATGCTCTTTTTGGTCAGACCTCTTCTTGAATACTGTGTTCAGTTCTGGGCACCACAACTGTAAACAAAAGAAACCAAAACAGATTCGAATTTCCAATAAAAAAGAGATGAATACTCTTCAAAAAATGTCATGAAACCCAATGCGGGTTCTTCGTACATTTGCAGAAAGCATGTTCTCAAGGACATAAATCTGAAACATCACAATTTATTTAGATGCTCTCAGATATAAGAAAAAAATGGCACCTTGAAAAAGAAGAACCTCACTGACACTATCAGAATGGAATATGAAAATTGGAGAATATGCAGGAATGAAAAAGTAAATAATTAATGTTATTAATAAATTAATAAAATATAAGTCCAACAAAATATTATAAAGAACATCTCCCATATATACTGTACTACAGAGTAGGGCAAATGGGATATGCTTTTTTTAAGGAAGAAAATTATAACAGCTGAAAACATTGATATAATTACTCAAAGTAATTTTTAATGTAAAGTTTAAATATCTAGATTGTGATTAACAGTTGGGAAATAAATAAATGGGAAAGGAAGTTAAACATTATGTTTTCATTTATGACTGGAAACTATTATTTGATAGAGCTTGTATAATTGTTAAAGAAGAAAAATACAAGTAACAATGTGTCAGACATAAAAGCGTCACTTGAAAATCTGGAATTAAAAAAACCTGATGAATTCACTAATTAACTTCAATTAAATGGAAAGGTTTTCTCCCAAATGAGATTTTATTTTCAGAAAACAATATTGAACAGTTTTTGGGAAGAAAAAGTTACAGGAATTCCAGCTGACTGAAAAAAATCCTTTTAAATATATACCACTAGCACTGCAATAAACCAGCAAAATTACTGAAACAAATGTACCACCATGTGGCTTTTAAATACTTAGAAAGAAAGTTTAGACTTCACAAGTTCACTCAACAAGACCAGATTATGACACTGCGGATATTTGATATTTCTCTCCAGCATCAGTTCCACTTAGTGCAAGATTCATTGAATTCTAGAAAAATAAATACGATATGACAGGAGAAAGTACAGCATTTCTTGATATATTTCTGAAAACATGTTTCAAGAATAATGACAAAATATAGAAATGTATATACATGTTATCCAGAGAGCCAGATCGTAAATATAAAATCATATTTGCTCAACTATGGATGATATGAAACTATTCAGCCATATAATTTTGAAGTTGTGCAGGAAAACATTTAAAATCATTTTTTTTTTTGCAAATACTTACAGTCTGGACTGGTTTCAAACTCAAATTTGCGGCTGTTGGTGCCATATCCTGCAGCAGTTCGGGCTCTGATTTGGAAAACATAAGTGGTGTCTGGCTTAAGGCCATTAATAGTAACATTCATAGTTTTTGCTCTCAGAATGGTGTAGCTTGTCTCTTGTTCCTGCTTTAGAAAAAGAAATGGGCCTCATTAAAACCCAGGTAGTCAAACCTGGTTGCCATAATGAATGAGTTTATTTCATTTTCATAGCAGTTCCCGTTCCATATTATTCCAGCTGTGCAAACAGCATTTTTTGAGTGCAAGTTAATTGTATTCATTGTACATTTTATCTTCTGTAACCAGAATGGCTAAAGAGATTTTGTGTTTGATATAATCATAGATGCCCTTTCTGAGAATTGTTTTGGTGTATTAAGATTTTTCAATAGAGTGCAATCAATCTTTTTTATCTTACCTCCTCAAATACATTGTATGATTAGACCCTACAGAAGAAAATTAGATTTCAATCCTAGAACCTTTTTTGCCTTCAAAAGAAGAACTACAATAAAGTTGACAATACGTAGAAATATTTTCCCAGATATTTCCATTTCAAATCTGATGTCTACTGTTTTACAACTTGGGAGAAAAAAATCTCCTTTTTTCTTCATCATTTTTACATACTATTTATAAGAAACCGTGTCTTATGCTCTATAAAAATGGGATTCCTTTTTGCAAATAAGTACATTGGAGTTGTGGTTTTTCATGAAAAGGTAAACATTAAGAAATTTATGAACCAACAGCATTAGTGGAATAGGTGTGTATTTAGAAGAATGGCACAGAGGAAATGCAGACAGTCTCAGATCAAATTTGCTTTGTTTCCAATCTGAGATGAATAAAACATGCAGGAGTTCCTGATCATTTGAGTTTGGCTCTCAGCTTTAGCATTAAATTACTCTGGTTAGTGCATTTGAACATAAGTCAATAGTGTAACTTGGCTATCTCTTTCATTATACTTAGATATTACTTGTAAAATTTCATTTATGTTAGAAATTATGTAGATCGGAGATTATCTCATTTGTGATCTGACTCAGGTGCTAGGTAATATGTATGCAGGAGTGGTTGGTTCCAGATCCTGTTGCAACCGGTATGGTGCAACAGGGCCCGGTGTCCACCACTTGAATGCATACAGCACACATGCACCACATGAATGCGACACCTCCACGATGCTCCAGCTGCTCGGCAGAGCATCGCACAGATGCTGTACGCTCCATGCGCGTAAGCCCCGAAGAGCTCAAATACAGGTAAGGATGGTGGGCGGGCGTCTGGGCCCTCCGGAGTACCATACTGGAACAGTACCCTTAGGCACCGTAACCCACCACTGATATGCAGTTACTGTATATTTAATTTACTGTGACCAAGTTTCAATATCTTAAAATGGTACATTTTTCTCCTACCATTGAAAGGAAGAAAAATTCTAAATTTTTATGAATGTACTACTGCACATATGGATTTAGGAATAATTCAGCTTCTGTTGTTCATTTTAACATTTCAGTGATGTAGCTGACATTAACGAAAGTTATAAGACTACGATGCAATTCTATGTACCTCACCTTAAATATATAATATTACTGCCTAAATAGTGAATATACAATTCATAGTTTCCCCTCTGTACAACTCCAAAGCATAATATTATGAAATACCTAGAAAACAGGGTTTTTTAGAGTTGAAGTAATGCTATAAAAGTTACTTTCTTTTGTCATAAGGTGTATCTTCATTTTATAAATTTAAAGATAGTTCTTGAATTATGACTGTCACTGAGCTTACCCATTAGGATCATAAATTGTGATGCTAATAAAACAGGCCATCATGTGACCAATCCAATTTTATGATCTTTTTTGTGGCAGGCAAGCAAATTACTATGACCATTAAATAAAATATAATGCAATATAATCTGCTACATTTTGCATGATGGTTAATGCAACTGATTACAGTTGCAAATAGCTAATGTAACACTATTAAACTAGTAATACTGCATGCATCTAGTATAACATACATTATGTCTATATGTAAAAACCACACATATATAATCCATACATAGTTCATTATATATGGTTGAGGATAGTAGGAAGATAAAAATATCCCTACATTATATAAGGAAACTGACAATAACATTTTAAATTTTAATTTGTCAATGCCAAATTTTTCATTTTGTGACTCTATCTAGAACTCATTTAAAACCTTTACATTTCAAACCAAGAGGATGACCTTTACAAATGTTAATTACTTCCTAGCAGGAAATGAGAATAAGAAATGGAATTTCTGATATATGGAAAAGTCAGCATTGTTTGTCATTGGCTTTCCTGCAAAACTAGAGCTAAGACATTGGAATATTTTGAATGTATTTTTGGCTTGCATACTTACAAAAGTTTACAAAATCCTGATTAATATAAAATATATTATCTAATCTCATTTATTTTATTTTATTCATAAAGAAATACCCTTATTACATAAACATTAGATGCTTGCAAATTTTAAATCAGGATAACATCTTCATTTATATTAAATACAACCTTTAAAATATGATGGTAAAATATTAAAGTTGCTTACTTCAGATATACTTTAATATGAGCACTACTAGAATGCAAATGTCATTCTATATTTTGCTCACAAAACATGGGAAAGCTAGTATAGAAACTATGAGCCCATGTAAACTATATTTCACTTTCGTGTTCACTTATCTTTATCCAAGCTAGAGTTGACTTTCTCCTGTCCCTTTGGTGTTGTCCTCTCACCTTTTCATAGTACTTGACTTCATAATCCAAGATGATCCCATTTGGGTGTTCAGGTTCTTGCCAAGACAGAGAGACACTGTTTCTAGAGGTCCGGTCCTTTCTGATTGTTGTAATAGGTGATGGAGCTGGAGGAACAACAAAGAAAAAGGTGGTTAAGGAAAGAAAACAAACACACTAAACCTTGCAAAGAACAGGAGGTTTGATTTAAATAGATCCTGAGTATAAACCTGGACTTGGATCAACCCTTAATAGCTGGATTGTAGACTTCTTATTCAAGCCTTGAAGCAGGATAGCCTGAATAAGTTAGACATATTCTTGCTAGTACCATAGTGGTGAATGAGCAGATGTTTCTAATCTGCTACCATAATGTAAGCAATGAAATTCAATTGCTATATTAAAATGTGAAGCCAAAAGGGAGAGTTTTGTCTATTCATTAGAATCTGTGCTATTATTACTGAAATCTGCAGTTCATTGATAATGTTCCTCCTGTCAGATGTACAATGTAACTGAATACATTATGGACAAAATCCCAAGAGCTCCATTGTTACTAATAGTCATCAGTGTGCTGTTAAACGTCTTATTTTTGGTGACATTCTCCATGTTTTTCCTATATCTCACTCTGATTAATAAATTTCTCCCACATTTTTAACAATTCTATGAATCTCAGTTAAAGATACATATTTCAGAATATTATCAGCCACACATGCACAAACACACACACACACAACACAGAAAGAGGGAAAGAGAGAGGGAGGGAGAGATGTAGGGAGACACATTATTTGTGTATGATGATTGGAAACAGAATTTTTTTAGATATAATAATCATATGATTTTTTTAAAAATACATTCAAATTATTATTTAAAGTCTTTACTGCCTATTGACCAGAATGAATTATGACTACATTAAATCACTTTAATTTCATTGACTGTTATTGACCATTATAAAATAGAAAAAATCCAATTTAATGTATAAATTATATGTGCAAACTGATGTTTATAAACATTCACAAATACACACACACCACTTATACTATGAATCCTGGAAAAAAAGTGAAGACTGAGCAATAAAGAAAATTTAAATATATTGATTTAAAACAACTTTAATTGTTATAAACCAAATATTGAATCAGTCTACTTTATCCAAATCTATGTGATGAAAAGGTTCTATATATTAATTAAACAGTTTTTTTTTAATTTTTATTGCATTGTTTTCTTAAAAACAGCTTTTAACAGCTTTGCCATCATAAGAAAATAAAAGATGATAAACTAATGTTGAGTGAATGGAGTATGAGATTTCGTAGCTACTTCAATCACAGGATGCCAAGGCATGTTTAAGATACACAGAAACACACACATCATTCAACCACATCTCTTTTAACCTGCTTAGCTTTCCCCTTTGAATTAAATCCCAAAGAAAGACATCATACTTCAGAAACATGCACTCCTACTGTGCTTTCTGCCCCCCAGCCATGGGGTTTTGGGGGTTGATGAAAAATTCCAAAGTATGTTCCAGCAAATCTTAGAATACATTTTTAAAATGAATTTTCCAAGCAGAGGAAGTATTCAGCCGGTTTTCCATGGTTCAGGTGAACCAGTAATGGTGGCTGCAGGAGGCTCTGCCCACCCACCCTGACATAATACTTGAGTACTGCGTATGCACAGAAGGCGGTGCACACGGTCACATTTTTGTACTTGTATGGAACGTAAGTGAATCCCAACGCTGTTCCAAACTGCTAATTCTAAAAATTTTCAAAAATGTAGTTTAATCCATCACCACCCATTATACTATTCACTTTGGGATATATTACACAAAGAACAAAAAAGTCGAAAGCAGAAAAAAATAAAAAAGAGATAATCCTGTATACATAAAAAATAATATTCATCAAATAGAGTTAATATTTTTAAAAATAAGGTAATACCAACTCATATTAAGAGTTAATGTAGTGTAGTTAAAGGCATTGAGGCTTGAAACCAGGACAGTGTGATTCTAGTCCTGCCTTAGGCACTAAATAACAGGGACTTTGGATCAGTCACTCTCTTTCGGCTGTAGAAAAAGGCAATTGCAAACCACTTCAAAAATCTTGCCAAGAAAACTGCAGAAACTCATCCAAGCAGTTGCCAAGAGTGTAGCTATACATTAAAATAGAAACATTGCTTCACGGGAGAAGACAGTTTTCAGAAAATGAAGAGATAGGTTTCAGCACAGAATGTATAACGTAGCTTAATGGCTCAAAATGAGAGTTATAGGATAGCTGGTCAGCCAGAGGCTGAGTTATGGATTGTTGCTATGAGGGAAAAGATGTAAAAGACACAGCACATAGTACATGGACTAGAAAGATCATAATATCATGACTTCTATTTTCATTTACAGGCTTAACTAAAAGCTTGGAACTGTAGTAGTAAATTAGTTAATAAGCTGAAGTAGTTAAGAAAAGTACCACACTAATTCTAGGAAAGGTTGGAAGAACTGGCATTTGTAGGAGAAACTCACTCAACCTCCCAATACGTGATTCTTGAGAAGAACCACAAGATACTAATTGCTTAGGACTTCTGCTATTAATAGGGTGAAGCAGAAAAGTTCAGTGGCTTCCACCACATTAGAAAAAAAAGAAAACAGTACTTAAACACTACTTTTTATTCATAAATATAATTAGTTTTATATGTACATTTGCTCAATCTTTAGGAACCTTTGGTAGCTGGAGAATAAGACCTAAAGGTCTATTCCTAAGTAGAACACATGCACATAAGAAAAATAGTATTCACCTAATTGTAGGTTTGAGGAGTTATATTTGAATAATAATTCAACAAATAAAAGTATCTTAATATAAAGAGCTTAAGGTAAGATTCTTTGAACATAGTTCTATAAATCTGTTAGCAAAAAGTTTTAAATCAAATTTTATCCCCTGAGGAATAATTTCATACACATGATTCTGATGTGGTTTTTTTAAAAAAATACATGTATTATTGTTGCTATTGTTACTGTTTCTAAGAATCTAATATCTTCAGTTCTCTGAAATTGACATATTTACTAAAGCAGATTATGTTTTTTTTNAAATATAGAAATGTATATACATGTTATCCAGAGAGCCAGATCGTAAATATAAAATCATATTTGCTCAACTATGGATGATATGAAACTATTCAGCCATATAATTTTGAAGTTGTGCAGGAAAACATTTAAAATCATTTTTTTTTTTGCAAATACTTACAGTCTGGACTGGTTTCAAACTCAAATTTGCGGCTGTTGGTGCCATATCCTGCAGCAGTTCGGGCTCTGATTTGGAAAACATAAGTGGTGTCTGGCTTAAGGCCATTAATAGTAACATTCATAGTTTTTGCTCTCAGAATGGTGTAGCTTGTCTCTTGTTCCTGCTTTAGAAAAAGAAATGGGCCTCATTAAAACCCAGGTAGTCAAACCTGGTTGCCATAATGAATGAGTTTATTTCATTTTCATAGCAGTTCCCGTTCCATATTATTCCAGCTGTGCAAACAGCATTTTTTGAGTGCAAGTTAATTGTATTCATTGTACATTTTATCTTCTGTAACCAGAATGGCTAAAGAGATTTTGTGTTTGATATAATCATAGATGCCCTTTCTGAGAATTGTTTTGGTGTATTAAGATTTTTCAATAGAGTGCAATCAATCTTTTTTATCTTACCTCCTCAAATACATTGTATGATTAGACCCTACAGAAGAAAATTAGATTTCAATCCTAGAACCTTTTTTGCCTTCAAAAGAAGAACTACAATAAAGTTGACAATACGTAGAAATATTTTCCCAGATATTTCCATTTCAAATCTGATGTCTACTGTTTTACAACTTGGGAGAAAAAAATCTCCTTTTTTCTTCATCATTTTTACATACTATTTATAAGAAACCGTGTCTTATGCTCTATAAAAATGGGATTCCTTTTTGCAAATAAGTACATTGGAGTTGTGGTTTTTCATGAAAAGGTAAACATTAAGAAATTTATGAACCAACAGCATTAGTGGAATAGGTGTGTATTTAGAAGAATGGCACAGAGGAAATGCAGACAGTCTCAGATCAAATTTGCTTTGTTTCCAATCTGAGATGAATAAAACATGCAGGAGTTCCTGATCATTTGAGTTTGGCTCTCAGCTTTAGCATTAAATTACTCTGGTTAGTGCATTTGAACATAAGTCAATAGTGTAACTTGGCTATCTCTTTCATTATACTTAGATATTACTTGTAAAATTTCATTTATGTTAGAAATTATGTAGATCGGAGATTATCTCATTTGTGATCTGACTCAGGTGCTAGGTAATATGTATGCAGGAGTGGTTGGTTCCAGATCCTGTTGCAACCGGTATGGTGCAACAGGGCCCGGTGTCCACCACTTGAATGCATACAGCACACATGCACCACATGAATGCGACACCTCCACGATGCTCCAGCTGCTCGGCAGAGCATCGCACAGATGCTGTACGCTCCATGCGCGTAAGCCCCGAAGAGCTCAAATACAGGTAAGGATGGTGGGCGGGCGTCTGGGCCCTCCGGAGTACCATACTGGAACAGTACCCTTAGGCACCGTAACCCACCACTGATATGCAGTTACTGTATATTTAATTTACTGTGACCAAGTTTCAATATCTTAAAATGGTACATTTTTCTCCTACCATTGAAAGGAAGAAAAATTCTAAATTTTTATGAATGTACTACTGCACATATGGATTTAGGAATAATTCAGCTTCTGTTGTTCATTTTAACATTTCAGTGATGTAGCTGACATTAACGAAAGTTATAAGACTACGATGCAATTCTATGTACCTCACCTTAAATATATAATATTACTGCCTAAATAGTGAATATACAATTCATAGTTTCCCCTCTGTACAACTCCAAAGCATAATATTATGAAATACCTAGAAAACAGGGTTTTTTAGAGTTGAAGTAATGCTATAAAAGTTACTTTCTTTTGTCATAAGGTGTATCTTCATTTTATAAATTTAAAGATAGTTCTTGAATTATGACTGTCACTGAGCTTACCCATTAGGATCATAAATTGTGATGCTAATAAAACAGGCCATCATGTGACCAATCCAATTTTATGATCTTTTTTGTGGCAGGCAAGCAAATTACTATGACCATTAAATAAAATATAATGCAATATAATCTGCTACATTTTGCATGATGGTTAATGCAACTGATTACAGTTGCAAATAGCTAATGTAACACTATTAAACTAGTAATACTGCATGCATCTAGTATAACATACATTATGTCTATATGTAAAAACCACACATATATAATCCATACATAGTTCATTATATATGGTTGAGGATAGTAGGAAGATAAAAATATCCCTACATTATATAAGGAAACTGACAATAACATTTTAAATTTTAATTTGTCAATGCCAAATTTTTCATTTTGTGACTCTATCTAGAACTCATTTAAAACCTTTACATTTCAAACCAAGAGGATGACCTTTACAAATGTTAATTACTTCCTAGCAGGAAATGAGAATAAGAAATGGAATTTCTGATATATGGAAAAGTCAGCATTGTTTGTCATTGGCTTTCCTGCAAAACTAGAGCTAAGACATTGGAATATTTTGAATGTATTTTTGGCTTGCATACTTACAAAAGTTTACAAAATCCTGATTAATATAAAATATATTATCTAATCTCATTTATTTTATTTTATTCATAAAGAAATACCCTTATTACATAAACATTAGATGCTTGCAAATTTTAAATCAGGATAACATCTTCATTTATATTAAATACAACCTTTAAAATATGATGGTAAAATATTAAAGTTGCTTACTTCAGATATACTTTAATATGAGCACTACTAGAATGCAAATGTCATTCTATATTTTGCTCACAAAACATGGGAAAGCTAGTATAGAAACTATGAGCCCATGTAAACTATATTTCACTTTCGTGTTCACTTATCTTTATCCAAGCTAGAGTTGACTTTCTCCTGTCCCTTTGGTGTTGTCCTCTCACCTTTTCATAGTACTTGACTTCATAATCCAAGATGATCCCATTTGGGTGTTCAGGTTCTTGCCAAGACAGAGAGACACTGTTTCTAGAGGTCCGGTCCTTTCTGATTGTTGTAATAGGTGATGGAGCTGGAGGAACAACAAAGAAAAAGGTGGTTAAGGAAAGAAAACAAACACACTAAACCTTGCAAAGAACAGGAGGTTTGATTTAAATAGATCCTGAGTATAAACCTGGACTTGGATCAACCCTTAATAGCTGGATTGTAGACTTCTTATTCAAGCCTTGAAGCAGGATAGCCTGAATAAGTTAGACATATTCTTGCTAGTACCATAGTGGTGAATGAGCAGATGTTTCTAATCTGCTACCATAATGTAAGCAATGAAATTCAATTGCTATATTAAAATGTGAAGCCAAAAGGGAGAGTTTTGTCTATTCATTAGAATCTGTGCTATTATTACTGAAATCTGCAGTTCATTGATAATGTTCCTCCTGTCAGATGTACAATGTAACTGAATACATTATGGACAAAATCCCAAGAGCTCCATTGTTACTAATAGTCATCAGTGTGCTGTTAAACGTCTTATTTTTGGTGACATTCTCCATGTTTTTCCTATATCTCACTCTGATTAATAAATTTCTCCCACATTTTTAACAATTCTATGAATCTCAGTTAAAGATACATATTTCAGAATATTATCAGCCACACATGCACAAACACACACACACACAACACAGAAAGAGGGAAAGAGAGAGGGAGGGAGAGATGTAGGGAGACACATTATTTGTGTATGATGATTGGAAACAGAATTTTTTTAGATATAATAATCATATGATTTTTTTAAAAATACATTCAAATTATTATTTAAAGTCTTTACTGCCTATTGACCAGAATGAATTATGACTACATTAAATCACTTTAATTTCATTGACTGTTATTGACCATTATAAAATAGAAAAAATCCAATTTAATGTATAAATTATATGTGCAAACTGATGTTTATAAACATTCACAAATACACACACACCACTTATACTATGAATCCTGGAAAAAAAGTGAAGACTGAGCAATAAAGAAAATTTAAATATATTGATTTAAAACAACTTTAATTGTTATAAACCAAATATTGAATCAGTCTACTTTATCCAAATCTATGTGATGAAAAGGTTCTATATATTAATTAAACAGTTTTTTTTTAATTTTTATTGCATTGTTTTCTTAAAAACAGCTTTTAACAGCTTTGCCATCATAAGAAAATAAAAGATGATAAACTAATGTTGAGTGAATGGAGTATGAGATTTCGTAGCTACTTCAATCACAGGATGCCAAGGCATGTTTAAGATACACAGAAACACACACATCATTCAACCACATCTCTTTTAACCTGCTTAGCTTTCCCCTTTGAATTAAATCCCAAAGAAAGACATCATACTTCAGAAACATGCACTCCTACTGTGCTTTCTGCCCCCCAGCCATGGGGTTTTGGGGGTTGATGAAAAATTCCAAAGTATGTTCCAGCAAATCTTAGAATACATTTTTAAAATGAATTTTCCAAGCAGAGGAAGTATTCAGCCGGTTTTCCATGGTTCAGGTGAACCAGTAATGGTGGCTGCAGGAGGCTCTGCCCACCCACCCTGACATAATACTTGAGTACTGCGTATGCACAGAAGGCGGTGCACACGGTCACATTTTTGTACTTGTATGGAACGTAAGTGAATCCCAACGCTGTTCCAAACTGCTAATTCTAAAAATTTTCAAAAATGTAGTTTAATCCATCACCACCCATTATACTATTCACTTTGGGATATATTACACAAAGAACAAAAAAGTCGAAAGCAGAAAAAAATAAAAAAGAGATAATCCTGTATACATAAAAAATAATATTCATCAAATAGAGTTAATATTTTTAAAAATAAGGTAATACCAACTCATATTAAGAGTTAATGTAGTGTAGTTAAAGGCATTGAGGCTTGAAACCAGGACAGTGTGATTCTAGTCCTGCCTTAGGCACTAAATAACAGGGACTTTGGATCAGTCACTCTCTTTCGGCTGTAGAAAAAGGCAATTGCAAACCACTTCAAAAATCTTGCCAAGAAAACTGCAGAAACTCATCCAAGCAGTTGCCAAGAGTGTAGCTATACATTAAAATAGAAACATTGCTTCACGGGAGAAGACAGTTTTCAGAAAATGAAGAGATAGGTTTCAGCACAGAATGTATAACGTAGCTTAATGGCTCAAAATGAGAGTTATAGGATAGCTGGTCAGCCAGAGGCTGAGTTATGGATTGTTGCTATGAGGGAAAAGATGTAAAAGACACAGCACATAGTACATGGACTAGAAAGATCATAATATCATGACTTCTATTTTCATTTACAGGCTTAACTAAAAGCTTGGAACTGTAGTAGTAAATTAGTTAATAAGCTGAAGTAGTTAAGAAAAGTACCACACTAATTCTAGGAAAGGTTGGAAGAACTGGCATTTGTAGGAGAAACTCACTCAACCTCCCAATACGTGATTCTTGAGAAGAACCACAAGATACTAATTGCTTAGGACTTCTGCTATTAATAGGGTGAAGCAGAAAAGTTCAGTGGCTTCCACCACATTAGAAAAAAAAGAAAACAGTACTTAAACACTACTTTTTATTCATAAATATAATTAGTTTTATATGTACATTTGCTCAATCTTTAGGAACCTTTGGTAGCTGGAGAATAAGACCTAAAGGTCTATTCCTAAGTAGAACACATGCACATAAGAAAAATAGTATTCACCTAATTGTAGGTTTGAGGAGTTATATTTGAATAATAATTCAACAAATAAAAGTATCTTAATATAAAGAGCTTAAGGTAAGATTCTTTGAACATAGTTCTATAAATCTGTTAGCAAAAAGTTTTAAATCAAATTTTATCCCCTGAGGAATAATTTCATACACATGATTCTGATGTGGTTTTTTAAAAAAAATACATGTATTATTGTTGCTATTGTTACTGTTTCTAAGAATCTAATATCTTCAGTTCTCTGAAATTGACATATTTACTAAAGCAGATTATGTTTTTTTTAAGAAAAAATATTAAAATACAACTAATAATTCAATGTCATGTCTTTTATTTCCTAGTAAATCATTTTATGGCACTTTAATTAATTCTTATTGTGTGTGTTATTTCATTAAAAAATGCAAAAAACCCAAATATGTCTGTTAAGATAACCTTCATAAATATTTATGACCAATTAAAAGTAATTATTTCCTACCACCTTTTCTAATTATTTTAAATGAATCAATAGCATACTGATAACATCAGATTAGCCTTAAACATTATTAATCATAATAATTATGGGGAAAAGATTTTTTCCATATTACTTTTTCTTTGCAACCTACCCAAAATGTGAATGGACCATCAATGAATGTATTAGAAATGAATTTCCAGAACTGGTTTACTTTACAAATTTTTGAAGAAGCAGCAACACTACAAACAGGCATATATAATATATTTCACAGCAGCATGTTTATAATGGAAAACTTTTTTTATTTTTACTGAAAACATGAAAGAAGTGGCTCATCTTCAGACATCTTCAGCTTAAAAGGTGATTGGGAAAACCACTGACTAATTGGAAAAATCATAAATGAAAGATTGACTTTAATGATCAACATGAAGAATGCCTTTATCCACACAGCCTGAAAACCTGTAAAGGTATACAACTTGTTAATCAAATAAAAATTAAAATCAGTCTCCCATTGCTGTTTTGGTTTCTTTCTTTGAAACAAATCACTGTTGCCTAGCTCCACTGCACTGAACCTGTTTAAATACTACTTATTCTGCTGCCATTTGCCCCCCTTCCAAAGGCTTAGGTGGATCTGAAAAAGTCAGCTTTGTGTTTGACCTCATACTCTAAATATAACATTTCCAGTGTTATTTTGCTAAAACTAACAACCACAACCATTTTACTGCCAAATATCACCAGCCTAACCTGAGTGTCTTTAGATACTATAAAACGGGACTAGAAAATATACGTGTGTATTTGGATATTACAGAAACAATCTGTAATGGTGGTGTTGTGAAATACCATTCTTTCGATTTGCATCCTATAGTAACCCAGGTACCTATTTTATGTAGTAGATGGCTGTTTCTTTGTTTTATTACCTTTATCTAACGATCACTTTATAATCTAGGAAATATAAATATTATAATTATAGGTTGTATAAACAGAGGCATAGAATCAAAATCACACGAAGAGGCATAGAATCAACATCACATGAAGAATTGTAAAGCCATAGTAAGTCCACACCTGGAATATTGCATCCACTTCTGGTCACTACATTACAAAAAAGATGTTGAGACTTTGGATAAAGTGCAAAGAAGAGCAATTAAGATGATTATGAAGAATGGTTGTATGAATTGGGTATGGCCAGCCTAGAGAAAATGAGGACTAGGAGAGAAATGATAGTAGTATTTTAGTATTGGAAAGACTGCCACAAAGAAGAGGGAACTTATTTTGCAAAGCACCAGAAGGCAAGACAAGAAACAATGAATGGAAAATAATGAAGGAGAGAGCCTGAAATTAAGGAGAAATTTCCTAAGAGTGAGGACAATTAACCAGTGGAACAGCTGGTTAGAAATTTAGAAGTTGTAGGAACTTTATCACTAGAAGTTTTAAAGAAAAGATTGGCAAGCCACCTGCTTGAAATGTTATAAAGCAGTGATGGTGAACCTTTTCGGCACCTAGTGCTGAAAAGGGAGTGTGCACTTTCGTGTGTGTGCTGTGAAAGCATGCACATGTGATTATCTGGGCTGCGATCCAGATGAGCAGCTGCCCAGGGGGCATGCATGCACCAGAAAATGAACTTCCGGTTTCCAGCATGCACATACATGGCAGCCAGTAAGTCTTACAGTTACTGGAGTGTATGCATGCACACTGATCAGCTGGACAGCACACACGCTTATGCTGGAAAACAGAAGATCAGCTTTCCAGTTTCCAGATCATTGCATGTGGATGCATGCCAGAAACCCGGAAGAGGAACAAGTGATGCCATGTGTGCCAGGCAACATGACTCCGTATGCCACTTTGGGCACGTGTGCAATAGGTTCATCATCACGGTTATAGAGTCTCATGCTTGAGCAAGGGACTGGACTAAAG